AGGGGAAAAGCAAAGAACATTTAGACAAGCATCCTGCAAAGAGAAAACGTGCCATCCTCTGCCCTCTGCTGCTTCAGCTTAAGGCTGTTCATTTATCTAGTGAGAGACAGACGACAGCTTTACCTTTGTTCATGCAAACAGAGATAGCTTATACAGCAGAGGTGTCCACGAGCTACAAGAATTAGATGGAGACCAACAATCCATTTTGTAGAAGGCAGACACTAGAGATGAACAGCTTATTTCTTACAACCACAGCCGGATTCACATTGTAGGGCTGGGGACTGAAGCAGACCCTGAAGAACCACTACCTGCCCGTCTGTTACTCATTGCCTGCTATCAATAATAACACCCCATCACAGCCAATACAAAAACCTGCAGTGTTACAAACTGACCTGCATTTCAACTTCTGTTCCCTTCCTCCCATTTCTATGATATAATAGAAGCCACTTACCACTCAGCAGCATTGTAATTAAATAATCAAAGAGCAAACAAATTTCACAGCTGACAGTCCCCAGGAGAAAACTGATATACACGAAAAAAGCATTTTAGTTTACTTAGGGCCATTCTCATAACAAGAAGCTCAGAGGGATATAATTAGTACCCTGCAAGCCAGCATATGAAAAGGCTTAATTTAACTGAGATCAGAACTAAAGAATAGCTATAGAAATTAAAAGTGAAGCCACAAATCCACACAGGACTGCCACAGCTAAGCGTTTTTATGATCAGGAATCCTAAGGTCGTAATTCCCATGTATCGCATTCTGATTTCTGCTTATCCAGAAGGGTGGGCGTTATTTGAGACCACCCTGAAACAGCCGAGGTTAATCCCAGGAGGTCAGTCCATGGGTCTTTAGCAGCTCCCAGCAGGAAGAGGCAGACAACGCCAGGCAGGCTGGTTTTTATTCTCCAACAACTGTCTGCTGAATTGGTGCCCCCCTCCTCAATAACACCTATATCCTTCTGCACATTAAATCCCTACAACTGTTTTGAAATGCTTATGGGCAGGAGAAGAAAGTCCTTATATCACAGGGATCCAAGCTTGTGGGGAAAAAAGACCAAGCTTTCATAGTCTCACTGGGAACGCTATGTTGATACTAGAAACTACTATTAGAGGAAGTAGGAAACAGGCCAACAATATTTACCCTGTTGTGACCATGCTGGAAAGCAGCTTCTTTTAAGCTACCCCAACCTAAGAAGGGAATTCCTACAAAGATGCTACCACTGTACTGTGGTACAGTACTGTACTGTGGTACCACTGTACTTAGACTCATCCCACTGACAAGTAGCCTTTCCCAGAGCACTGTGGCTGATGTGGAATCCAGCACTAAATTTGTCTGAATACTAGATTTCCATCATTTACATTATACTATAGGAATGCACAAAAAAATACCAGACGGCAAGTTGTTCCAGCACATTTTGATTTTTCAAATACAAAGCCTAGGAAACATTTCAAAAACACAACTCGTAAAGCTTTTGCTGCTCGCTGTTAAGATTTGCTGTCATCAGGACAGCCTTTTTTGCTTGAAAAATGTTTATTGCTAAAGGTCACAGAATTGTCTCTCTCAAACAAATTAAGAAATAAATGGCTGTTGACACTTCCAGATGATGATTCATCTGCCCGAGAGCTCCAATAATGCAAAGCAGCACAGCTGCCTCTCAGGTATGCTGCAGACCACAGCAGCCACCAGCCAGCCCAGAAATCTGTCTTCACTCTCCTGTCACTCTGTCAGCCAACTTCTCAATTCCTTCGTAGTCACACCAAAAATTCCTTGCTCTCAAAGCTGAACAACAGATGAAAAACATAGGAAAGTAACATCTGTCAGAAAAAAACCCACCGATGTGTGCAGCAGCCAGGTTTCCATACTTACTATTTCTATTATTAGCAAAATCCTCCTTACTTCATGTGAAGCAAAGATTCTCTGTGTATGAGACTGAAGGCTGAAAGAGGCTGCTGGATTAGCACTACCATCACCACCTACAGAAGATGGCACAGTAGCAGGAGGAGAAAGCAACACAAACAGAACCTCAGGAGCAGCTGGACAAAGCCCAGTACGTTTTACCCCAACACAGGTCGGTACACAGGAAATGCCAGCCATGGGGAGAGAGTCTTCTTGCCAGGGAAAGCCAAGTTCTTGAAGGTTCATCTTTTTAAAGAGTTATTGAAGTGCTAGAGGTGTGTTTAGACAACCCTCGAGTGAAATGCCATCATGAGGTACAGCAGAGTGTATCTGATATTTTATCTTGTCAGGGTAAGCTCTCGATAAAAAAAAATTAATAATAGATTTTTATTGAGCGATTATCCTTTTCATCTTTTGCTTTTCACTTGAGTTTATGATGACTATTTACTGATCTCTTTGGGGAAGAAGCTGACATTTACTGTTCATACTTATGCCTCTCTGATCTCAAATGTGGCCTCTACTATCACTAAGTCCAACAGTGATTCTCTAATTTCAGAAAAAAGATGCAGTTACACATTTGTGGGACTAGCATTTGAAAAGAAAGCACAGCATTCCACCTTCCAGACTATGAAGAAGATTAATCATTCATGATTTTCAAAGAAAGTCAAGAAATCAGAAATCTCTCCTCATTCTTTTTACTGCTCACTGGTTCTGTGGCACAACAGTGATGATCATCAGCTTAGACACAGGGTTTGTATCACCTGCCCAATTTAATCACGAGAAACAGATAACCAGAGCAGTGGCCCGACAGTCCAAGTCCAAGAATGTGCACTTTTCAAGCATACAACATGTGAGGCAACACTTTCTTGGACCTCCCACTCCTTCCTGCAGTTCATTTTGACATGTTAAATTATTAATTCTCAGGTATTGGATTGAAGTGTGTGTTTATGGTTTTTGGGGTTTTCTTTTGGGTTTTTGTTTTTTTTTAAATACATACAATGGATAAATTGAAACCAGAAATTTGTAACTAGCAGCCGTGCAAGTCAAGATCATGTGTTCAGGACTTAACAGCCTCCTGAAGACTACAGATCTATTTAAACCCAGGATGGGATGTGGAAACCAACCCCAGTGTGGTCAGGGAAGAACTGTGCCTGCTGGAGAAGGAGCAGTAGCCAGCAGGAAACGCTACAGTGCGGAGCCAGAACTGACAGTAGTGAAGCAAAAATGTTTCATCCTAACCAGTAATTGTCCCAAAGTGCATAGATCAACAGAGCTAGCAGGAAAACACCGGTTTCCAAAAAAAAAGAAACCAAAAAGGTTTTATTGGCGCTTTCTTTGCTTGTGTGTTGACTGTCCAACACCAGCAGTCTTTTATAGCCATCTATAAATAGATGCTGCACACAAATTAATCTCAGCTACTTTTTGCAACTCCTGTATGAAAGATGGATGACTGACGGAGAAGAGCTTGCATCTTCTCAGAGGCAGGTGGAACAGAGCAGGAGAGAGCTGGACAAACAGCACGTGTCCAGACTGGCGAGGAGCAGGGGTGGGAGAGCCAGGAGTACTTTTGCCTGGTTAGAAGGGCACATCTAGAGAACAAGAAAAATAGATCCACAGGAAACCCGCTCTCATTACTTCCACTTCTCTCAAAAGAAACTTGTTTGTACAATTCAGCTGTGGTTACAGCATGAGTTTGTCTAATTTGCTTCTAGAGTGAGTAGCAATAAAGAGACCTTGTTGGGAGGGTGTGATTTTGGTTTGGTTTTTTATTTTTTCCCTCTCTCCAGCTTAGTCTGAAACTCCTCTAAAGAAATACTTATTTCATGTAACATTGATTTGTTCAAACCAACGTGCCTTGCTTGCAAACTCATTAGAGATGTACTTTAGAGCAAATACTATAGCTTTTGGATAGTGCTTATTTGAAAGTCAGTATAGGTCAGAACACTAAATACTCACGAGATTATTTCCAAGCTCATTTTAGGAGCTTCCTACACGTCAGATTTTTGGAGGTGTATCCATGTAGAGAGCTCTTTTCCCCCAGTTGTGTAATTTCAGTGGCAGGACTCGAACTCTGCAGCTCTTAAAGCTAAGTAGTCCTAGTCATTTTAAAGGAGAAAATAGACTTGGTAGATCTGATCATAACCTCTTAAAGTCACTGTACCCTCTTCAACACAGAACAACACCAGCTGCTTCAGAGGATTTTCCATGTGTGCTTTCTAGCTGTGCAATGTCCACATGATAGAGGCAATCATTCCTCCTTCACTTGATTGCCTTTTCCACCATAGCAAGGGTGCAAACCACAGGACAAAGCCTAGCTTAATTTATATCACATCCCATTTAAATGATTCAGAGAAAAAGATCCCTTGCCTTTCTGCTACAGAACAAGAAATTCAGCAAATACATCTCCCCATTACTGCTGCAATTACAAGTGGCTGTTCCATTTGTGGTGATGTGTTATATCAGCGACCACACATTTTTGCATGCAGCACTTAAACCCAATCCCAAATGACTATTACTGGCAATGCAGTACGAAATAAAGAATGCACTTGCGAGTCAGCAAGTGAGAGCAGGCAAAGTTTTGGATGTTGCAGATTTACTTTTCAGAAGCACGAAATTCAGGAGAAAAGCCAAATCACAGGCAGTCCGAGGTGGAAACCTTTTATCAAGGCTTCTTTTACGTTCTCTGTGTCTAGGAAAAAAATGCAGACCGTGAGGAGTAAGCTGTTCCCCCATCTGTTTATTTTTTTTTTTAATTTGGGAATTCCAAGGATAAAACATTTAACCCTGGGGTTAATATTTAGGGCTACACAGGCCCTTAGCAGAACATTCGAACCAGCTTCCCTGTTTATTGACGTTGTCCAAAACGCAGGACAGCCCATGCCATCAGCAGCTAAATCAGCACAAATCGAATATGGAACATGAATTTCTTGCTAGGCTTTTGGTCTTTCAAATGCACTGGAGCAAGGTTCACCTGGGCTGTGCTGTTGGCAACTAAAACAACCTCAAGTCATTAAACACATATTTGCAACTTCATTGATCCCTTTAGGTAGTTAAGCACCGGCAGGTAAACATAGGTGGAGATGTTATATAGAGGTTACCATACCTCTGTCACTGAAGTCATCCACCAGCACGATCTCCGCGATCAGCTCAGGAGGGGAGCGGTTCAGGACACTGTGCACCGTCCGGAGGAGAGAGGACCATCCCTCGTTGTGGAAAGGTATTATCACACTGGTGTTTGGCAGCTTCTCCAGGTACAGCTTATTCTTGCAGCTGGACATAGACACAGTAAGGGTAAAAGGTGGTGCCAAAAAACACCAGCACTTCCATTTAATTACCATTAAGTAACTTTGTTCATCCGTTACACCTCAAATGGATGCAAAGTGCCTGAAAAAAGCACCCCAACTTTCAGGCCTTATCAAGCCAGAGTTGACCTGACCTAGTCCACCTGGCCAAAAAAAAATTCCATATGAAGTGAGGATGTTGATGTCCAGTGACACTTGGCAACAGAATTCAGAGGGATCTATTAGGTGCTGAAGTTGCTAACACTTGGAAACAAAATCAGAGGGATCTATTAGGTGCTGAAGTTGCTTTGAAAGGAGACTCCAGTTATAGCTTGAGATACCAAAGTCTTTAAAATACTTGTTTTTCCTGCCCTTAAACCTCAAAGACCACTAGGAAGAGGAATTTCTACAAAGCTGTCTCAGAGGTGAATGTATCTCTTCTAGGCACTCTCAGTGTATTGGTTTGGCTCACTTATTCCCAGTTTTCAGAGAAGCAAAGCACTCTAATCACATGTATAATGGTCATCCAAATTTTGTAAACAAAATGTGGAGAAGTAAGGGTTTTGTGTGACAGCATCTTCCCCAAACAGTCCCACAAGTTCGAGACATTACAAACACTAGACAGAAGAGACAGGATAATTGCATGGCAAAAACTGCTCAATAAACAAACCCACTAATAGGTCAAGCTCCAACCTCTACCAAAAGCTTCCTTTGTCATGCTGGACAGACTATTTAAATCTTACTTTTCCTAACCAATCAATCTTGTGTTCTCCATTTTTCAGCAGTTCTAGTTTGGCACCTGGGACCAGTTCTGCAGACAGACGTGAAGGAAATTGAGCTTTGAACACCAAGCACTGGAGAACTTGGGTAAGGCTGGAGAGTCAGCTCTGCAGAGTCCCTGTATGGATCCCTTGAATCTGGGGCTATTTCCCCACAGCATTAGTCGTCTTAATTTTGAAAGAGGGGTAACACTCCCTTGCCTCACAGGAGTGTTTTCAAGGTAGCTTCATGAAGAAAATTCCAACTGCAGCAAATAGTGCAGTGTTTATTTTCCTGCAGGTGTGGCCCTCACAGTGGAGTTTGAACGTTGTTAAACAGGTGATATCTAAAGCCATACAACAAACAATTGCAGTAAAGAATACTCAGCAGCTGTTCACTAGGGGACAAAAATCTACTACACTCCCAGAACCCCACATATCCGGGGCAAAACAGACTGAAGTGGCTACGTGAATAGAGATTTTTAGAATATGTTAATGGCATTGCCAGCAGGACGGGTTGCCCTCTTCCCAGTAGCAGGGGATGGACGTGGTCTTCTGGTCCTCTGCTCCCTGCCCTGCCCCACCACCAGACCCTGCACCAGAGCCCACTCCCTCCTACCAGGTGCTTGGCTGGGCTTTTATGACCCGCACACCGCAGAGCACACACACGGGTAATTAATTCCCTCCCTGTTCCCTGCCGGGCAGATGGGAACAAAAGCAGCTCTGGCAGTGGCAGCTTTTTCCTGGTACCTTTCCCAGGAAAGGGAGAAGGCTGCACCTATGTTATACAAGCTCAATAAATCTGTGATTACAGGAAGTGCCTGCGTGAAAGGACAGTAGCTTATTCTGGGTCTAATGAATTGTCCTGGGGTGCTGCCAAGAGCTCGCAGGAGGTGGCTGCAACGCACAGATGCAAAATGCAAAATGAAGCTGCATGGCCAGCTTTCAACCAGACCCTGCACCAGAGCCCACTCCCTCCTACCAGGTGCTTGGCTGGGCTTTTATGACCCGCACACCGCAGAGCACACACACGGGTAATTAATTCCCTCCCTGTTCCCTGCCGGGCAGATGGGAACAAAAGCAGCTCTGGCAGTGGCAGCTTTTTCCTGGTACCTTTCCCAGGAAAGGGAGAAGGCTGCACCTATGTTATACAAGCTCAATAAATCTGTGATTACAGGAAGTGCCTGCGTGAAAGGACAGTAGCTTATTCTGGGTCTAATGAATTGTCTTGGGGTGCTGCCAAGAGCTTGCAGGAGGTAGCTGCAATGCACAGATGCAAGATGCAAAATGAAGCTGCATGGCCAGCTTTCATCCAGCCCTTGGCATTGCAACCTTAACCTTCTGCCGAGACAGCTACTACCTATAATTCTGTTCCAGTATGAAACAAGAGCCCCCAACTAACTTTTCTTAAACTGAATTCTCATTTTCTGAGTAACTTTAACAAGCAGCAAACTTTAGCTATTAAGTTTAACCATTAAGCACGGAGAGAAATTGTTTCCCTCCAGCAATCACACCTACAATAAAATTAGTATTTAATATTAAAAAACCCAGAAGCACTTAAAGGAAATGTTAACAGGGAAGGACACAACTGTTGAAACAAACAGCTGTACGTGTGCACCAGGCAGATCCTGTATGCACCTTCCAGCCCCTTGCTTCCCATGATTAACAGAAAGCAGAGGTGACACACTTCTGGGTGTATAAACGTCCACACAAACCATTTGGGAAGTGAGCAAACACATTGGCTGCTTCTTTGTCCTTCCCCACCCAGGCCAGCTGGTGGGGAGAATCCCAACTGTGTCCCCAAAACTTACCTAAAGGACAGAACAGATGCTGCATTTTTATCTACAATTGCTTTACAAGACCTGCAAAATTAGTATTTAATATTAAAAAACCCAGAAGCACTTAAAGGAAATGTTAACAGGGAAGGACACAACTGTTGAAACAAACAGCTGTATGTGTGCACCAGGCAGATCCCGTATGCACCTTCCAGCCCCTTGCTTCCCATGATTAACAGAAAGCAGAGGTGACACACTTCTGGGTGTATAAACGTCCACACAAACCATTTGGGAAGTGAGCAAACACATTGGCTGCTTCTTTGTCCTTCCCCACCCAGGCCAGCTGGTGGGGAGAATCCCAACTGTGTCCCCAAAACTTACCTAAAGGACAGAACAGATGCTGCATTTTCCCCCAGTTCACCTTCTCCTTACCCTCTCTGCTGTCTGTGGTCACATCTCCAAACAACAGTCTCTACTATCTCTTCCGATATATAAAAGGCTTTAGTTTAAATGCTCTAACACACAGCTTGTTTCTTTCTAGAATGCTCTTTATGGACTTCATCTCAGCTGAACTTCATTATACCAGATGATTTCAAGTATATCTTTTTTAACGTGCACTCCCCAGCTCACCTTCTCCTTGCCCTCCCCGCTGTCTGTGGTCACATCTCCAAACAACAGTCTCTACTATCTCTTCCGATATATAAAAGGCTTAGTAAAGTAAATGCTCTAACACACAGCTTGTTTCTTTCCCCCCAGTTCACCTTCTCCTTACCCTCTCTGCTGTCTGTGGTCACATCTCCAAACAACAGTCTCTACTATCTCTTCCGATATATAAAAGGCTTTAGTTTAAATGCTCTAACACACAGCTTGTTTCTTTCTAGAATGCTCTTTATGGACTTCATCTCAGCTGAACTTCATTATACCAGATGATTTCAAGTATATCTTTTTTAACGTGCACAGGGAATGTACAACAGACCTTTTTAGTCATGAATTCCTTTACTGCAAGTCTCCATTAGATATAACCCCACTCCCTGCCCAGCTTATCCTGGCATCCATTATATACACCCTGTTTATCCCCTCCTTGAGACCTCCACAATTATAACTGGCTACATCAGGGTAAAGATGTGTCAAACAACAAGCAAACCAGCTGCAGTGGCATCATTAATCACAGCTTAAGTTGTTGGTGACACGGACACTTCACTTATTAATTGTAACCGGGGCTTGGAGTTAGAAGTTTCACATTTTAAAAAGTTTAAATAGCAGAATTAGCAATGAGGAGTCAACAACTTTGGGAAACAATGGGAATGTCAGGTAATATATTAAATCCTCAGATGAGGAAATACTGGCATTGCCTGATGTTTAAATTCTCAGAGTCCATGGCAGCCTCTTAAACGGAGGCCAAGTATAATTTAGGTTAGTATTTCCTAGAACATGAGTATGGGGTGATCAACAAGCATCTTCAATTACCTGATTTATCTCTACATTTAAACATTTCAGCTCATGCCTAAAATATTTATGGAGCTATAATCACTACTCTGGTTTATGAGTATATATTGAGAAAGGGTGTCAAGTCGGCGTATTTGATTAGTTTGCTGTGACAGCTGAAGAGGCAATCGCTCAAATGTGCAGCTAACAAATTATAAAACCTGACTTCTGGAAATTATCTCTCATGAACAAAGTAGATGTTGAATTCAGATTCACTAAACTGTGATAAGAATGACTTTACACAAAACAAGCCTCCGGTTCAAATGTCTAACAAGCTTTCAGATTAAGAAACCACACAAACAGTATTTAAAAACCTCTCAGCTTTGTATAAACAAGGGTTAAGTCCGAACTGAGCACTTTTGATAATGAAAAATTCCTTCTGGCTTTGGTTTGACACCATCCTAATGGATAATATCCAAAAATAGATGAACTCAAAAGCCAGAATTCAATTGGAACAAGTTTCTACTCATAAACCCTGATGAGGCTTTTATGAGGAAGATGTCTAAGAAACTAATTCATAAATCAGAAGAATTTCTGATGAAACTCTTCATACATAGTTGAGTGGAACTACTCCAATCTTGTTCTGTTCCTGAGCATTTCATGGTCATTTCCAGCCAGTGGCCAACGTAAGAACTGGGCAGTGCTATGTGACAACATCATCCCCCGATGACACTGAGGGTGTTTGCCAGCTGAGTCAAGACATTTACATCAGTCTCCACTACAGAAAGAAATAGCTCCACCTTATCAGTTGCTCAAAGTTGTTGGCTATTTCCTGAGTTGTGGGCTCAGGAACTGAACTGTCACATTACAAGAGCTGAAGGAAGTAGCCATCTCTGGGTTAAGTTCAAGATCTCTTCTGCAGACGGCTGCAAGGGTTTGGTAATTTAAAGTCTTCTGGAATCAAAAGGGGAATTTTTTCCCCAGATTTGGTCTCCTCTATTTCCCATTGCAATTACTATACACTGTCCTTTATGAAGGAGACAACAGGACCCAGATGTAAAAGGACTGTATTTGATAAACAAAGGACAAGAGTCCATAATTAGAGTACACTCCTGCAGATGTGATAATTTAGGCTTGTAAACTTTCACTTGTAGAAATGCAAACTCTATACTCACTTTGGATGCCTGATGTCTGGAAGGGAACGATTCAGAGAAATTTTATCACTCACAAAGATATTAAAGCCATTTTCCCTATACGCCTGGTCCACTCGCTCTGCATCCGTCATAGGGTAAGGTTTTCCCTGTTCTCCATTTCCTATAGAGACAAAGTAAACATGCATCATTACTACTAACTGGCCAGAAACTGATCCATATATCAAAAGAAGAGCAGTCATCTTATAGTTCTTTGAAAATTCCTTCATTAGTTTTGTGCTCTGTGTCATATTTAGCACTGGGTCAACCATGTCAACCAAACAACTTTATTTGATACACAGTTTTGCTACAAACCACTCGGCTGTGCAAATCCTAGAAGTTAAAAGTCTTCCTTCTAACACCAGAAAGAGATGATGGGGCTGTGGCAACGCTGGGGAGGAGCCACAGAATGGGTTTTGTTTCACTGCAGGAAGAATACATATGGTTTGAATAGCTCATTGCTGTTGCTTTTTTCAGCACAGATGGGTATGTATATTTAACAGAGGAGGTAGAGCCCTTACAGACACACCAGCGTAAAGCTGTGACGTTCAAAATGGGCCCTTTTTATGTGATGCAGGACAAAACCCACAACTATGAAATAAAACTTGCGTGAATGCTATAGTCTAGAACATTTCTCTTATCCCCCTTCTTCCTTTCTGCGTCCCCCATTTTTGGGAGAGGTACAAGCACACGTGTTTTTGGTAAGCTATTAAAAAAATCAACACTGCACCTATCCTAAAAATACCAAGAAGTTATCAACATATTTTCACCTTAAAATGGTTATTGTGGAGTTGGGGGAAAAGGCTTTAACTGGGATTAACACACAGTATCTGTTGCATCATGTCAAGAACATCATCTTAAGCCTGAAGTTGAACATGCTCTTCAGCACTCAGCACACAAAATAAAGTCAAACTAAATTACAATCTGTATTAAAACATTTTCATAGTAATCTTACATACCTACACGCTCAGAGTCCCTCCTGATAGCTTCTTTGTTATGCCAGTCCTTTTTCCTCTGTCCATCACCAAAGTAGGTGTCTTTCTTTTGCCTCACGTGTGATGCCTTTTAAACAAAAGACAGGATACGTTAAATACACAACATGTGAAACCTTTCTTTAACAGCCTCCCCTTCCTGTAAGAGGATATTAAACATCTTCCTTCAGGTAAGACCATCACAAGCAAGTAGTTTTCACTCCAAAAGGGGTGAGAGAGGAAGCAAGTTTTGCTTGTCTCAGAACAGTACTTCATCTATAGCTGTTAAGTGATATTTTTTCAGAGCACCATCATGTATGCAGACCAGTATTCTTAATCAGGGAATCTATTAAAAACTCCCATTTTCATTTTGAAAACATCCAATACATCTTACATCCTATTTAATTAACAATAAAGCTGTAATGGGAGACCTATTGCAGGATCATTATTAATGAGCACACTACTATACCTGAATAAAATCAAAATAAGATTTAAAAGGTCATTTATTAAGGCTCTTGCTGCTCAACTTAAAAGCAAATTTTACACAAGGCATGAGCCTGCGCTGAACCCAATTAGAGCTCCTCTTTTCATGATGTTGTTCCCGAAATTCAAAAGCAATGGGTGCTTTGGGAACAAGTTAGCAAATGAAAGATGAGGTGAATTCAGGATCAAAGAGACTACCGTGTGTGGAAAGAAAACCATGATACATCTCAAACACTGACATCTCCCAAATCCAAGTGAAATATATATACATAAGTAGGTTTTAAGGTTAAGAAGAGAACATCTTCTCTGAGAATGAGTTTTCAATTATGTTGTAATATGCTGGTAGAGTATAAATGCAAGCCATTTGTAGCATCATTACTGCAGAAGTAGTTACACAAAGAACTTAGAGGTTTTTCCCTTTTAATTCCTCATGACCTGCAGAGAGAACTCCACAGGCTAGAACTTCCTAGAAAGAAAAAAAAAAAGAGGGCAAGAGGTTTGAAGTCTCACTAATGGGTCAATCAAACCAAACAACCACCAAAGTGCAATGGTTGGCATAGTAACCTTGCAGGGTTATCAGGCATCTTTGGCATCTGGGACACAGATGTCATTTGCCTGACTAGTTAAATTACAAACTCTTCATTTTCATGCCCAGATTTATCCCGGGAAAATAGTACATTTGGACATTTTACTTGTTATTCCAAGGCACTAGACTTCAGCCTGATGCAGTTCCCCTCACTGCAGTTGACAGATGAGCTCTGGTGAACCTTTCTGTGGAGGTTTTGCAGGTCATCCCCATCGGGGGAAGAGGGGTCTCTTCTACACCAGTCAGTGGGAAGGGAGCCCCGTGGATCAGCTCACAAAACTATCAGTGAAGACAGATTTCAGCCACGATGTCAAAGTGAACCAGAGAGGCTGGAGGCAGGTACACGCTCTGCTCTGCCTGCTCTGTTTACGGGTGGTAAACCTCAGCAAAAGAACTGCATGAAAACCTTGAGTTGTGCTGGTGTATTACCATGGCAAAGGGTAATAAACCAGTGGTCTAAAAGTAATAGAGCTCAATGTAATTAAAAGCTGGCCTGTGAAATATTAGAGCTTTTTTCTCCCGCTCACATAAGAGATTTTTAAATCAATCTAGATCCTTTCAATCACGGATCATAAACTGATTTACACTCAGCTTCTTGACATTTTGCAGATGGTAACACACCTGGCAGAAGTCAAGTTTCATCCATGAAACCAGACACTCAGTTACACATTTCAATTAACTAATGCCATCCCTTCCTGCTGCCTGCAATTTCATTTTATTTTCACTGAAGGAGAACTGATGGGCACTCAGGACGGACAAGAAGCCAGTCACACAGTTAGTTCATGATGTGAACATTAAGGAACTTCCACTTGTGCCACCTGGAGCTAACAAGGATACTCTCTGAAAGGTACTTATGATACAGAAAGATGGAGGGAAAGGAACTCTCAGGGCAGCAGGGGAAGAGCAGGACCACACTACAGGGTGCCATTAACAGTGGTGAAAACCAGACAACTGCCAGCAGAGGTTGGTCGGCAGGAAAGGACAGTTACACTCACAAGAAAAGCAACCACGTTTAGAAAAACCCCAGCAGAGTTATATTTAGATGGTATACTTGATTTTCTTTCATTTACCCCACGATGCCTCAATTTATTTCATCTTTGTTATTTGTTCTTTTATTTTCCACTCTGAGGAAGTTATATGAATCAAAAGCAGTATCTCATTTTTCTGTTGTTAATTACTGTCCCTTTAGCACATGAACTCTACTCTTCTAAATCCTTAATTCTGTTCAAATACAGAAATGGGTCATGTATCTTCCTGAATTTCACTCTGCACCTATTAGGACATAAAATGAAGATGACCACCAGCAATCCATCTTAAGTTCCCCTCTGACTGCACGTGTTGAAGATTTGCATTTGCTGAGAGAAAAAGGTTTCATGAGAGGCACTGCCAAGCACCTCACCAATTCCTGTCATCCAGGAGAAGGTAAGTGTAGGTCCAGAGCAGCAGATCTGTGGTGAAGAACCGCGCTCTCCCTTGCTGGAAGGGCTCACTTGAACTCACCAGGTATAAAACATCAAACTAAATTGCTTAACTGGCCTTGTGGTTTTGTAGTCATCCCATTAAACACCACTGTTCTTATGTGAATTTCTACCTGCTGATAATGAAAAAGTGCCTTTAAGTGTCAAGATGGATGTGTGAGCTGGGAACCAAATGTGCAAGAAAGCACTGGGAGGGCACACTGAACACAGTGGACAACAGCACTTCTGAGGAAAAACTAAGCAAGCAGCTAGTCCTTAGCTCAATCTGAAGCTGGAGTCAGCAACGTGATCAGAAAGCACCTTGAAAAACATACAGGGTATATGCCAACACCAGCTGGAAGCCTAATGTTTGCTCCAACACAGGAGGTTGCTGCTGCTTTTGCATAGTGGGTGCGAGCAGAGGGGGTGTGAGATGCCTCCTCGGGGTGCAGTGAGCCAGAGCAGGGCAAACCCAACTCCAGCACCTGCCCGTGGCTCCATCTGACATCATTTAGCATGAATAATTTACATAAACTCTACCTGATTTTGCTGGCTCGTGCCAGCTTGTGTGAGCAGGTCCAGATGACAGCTGTGTGACAGACAGACAGTAGAAGCAGCAGCTTCATTATTTTTGGTGTAAAACAGATCAAATTTTCAAGCACCATGAAGCAGCCACCCTGTGCTACTGCAACAGTCCAGCATTTCTATTTGTCTGGCCACCACAGTGGTTTTTAATTTTTCAGAAAACATATCACCCTCCTGATCATCCCTATGAAATAACCGGCAGAACACACGACTGTTCTGTGAGATGTGAGCTTTGCCAGGCCTGCTCACCAGCCAGTTTCCTCTCCAGGATGCTTCCCTGCCAGGAAAAGTCCTGGAAAGCTCTCACAAACCAGAGGACCTCCTCGCCAGGAGAGTTTTGCCAACTTTCTGAGCACTAGGCTTGTGCACAAGTGTAATACTGGGCACAGGAACAACTGGCAAGTCTGAAACCTCAATATTTTTAGTCTCTTTTGTCTCTTGTTTATGGAGCTCTGGACTGAATGAGCACACCAGGAGAATCGTTTACAACGCCACTATCCCTTCTGCCATTTGCTGTGATTCAACACATGTAAACCCCTCATGAGCAGTTACTGTAGAAATCCCACCCACCACCGAAGAGGAGAGGGTTGTAAGAATGTCTGTAGAGTAGATCTAAAGAGTGACTCAGCCTCACAACACCCACGGTACACGTGGGGACCCAGCACCCTATGCCAAGCCATTATGAAGTCACCTAGGGAAGTCAGGCACCCTGGAGAAAGAGAGGAAAAAGAAAGACCCACCAGCAAAAAGGCAGCCAAGCTGCCTAACATGGCACTGGTAAGAGCCTTCTAAATCCCACCTCTTCTTGGCACTCGGGCAACTTAAACTAGAATTGCAGAGACACCCCCTTCCCTCTGAACTCCAGTATGAAAACTGCCTTAGAAGACACCCATCCACTGCTGCAGGTACCACTGTGGATAGCTCTCCTTTCAAAATTCAATGGATCCTGAGCTGCCCTCTGCAACAGCTCTCAGATGGGAGACAAGTTCAAAGTATATCCCAAAGGATTCACACCAACATCTCCAGCATCCTCTGGGGGGAAGCCACATCCCCGGGCCATCGGCTGTTTCAGGAGGAGCATCTCACACCACTACAAAGCTGTCCCACCAAAGCAGCCAACGCTCACCAAGCCAGGCAGCAACCAAAAAGCCGTTAAAAAGCTGTTCCAGCCATCCCTGCCCAGGGTCAGCACGCCCAGGCTCTGGGCTGGAGTCACCCTTGTGTCTGTGTGCTCAATATAGAATATCCTGAACAGGGACGTAAATTTCCTGCACAGCTTCAAGCCATTCTTCAGAGAGGTCAGCAATGTGCATTTAAATACCCTCAGAGCAGGCAAGCAATTTAAACACTGCGATACCGAGTGAAAACAGGCAGTAGCACACCATCCTCCAGTGCAGTTAAAAAAAAAAAAAAAAGAAATTGCAGAGATTGCCACTGAATTACGTACAGAGCCCAAGTCAGACAGGTGGACAGCAGAAAGGCTAATAGACAGATGTATTACTTCCCTCAGAGCCAAATAAATTTATGCACGAAAACATCTTTGAGCTGGGTTAAGCTAAACCCTGTCAAGGCCACGCGTATCAAGGGAAAAACTTTAAGTAATTTGTAAACTTTAAATTAAGCAAGAGAGGAAACTACGGAATACACGCATCGGTTACTCAGACCTTTCCGAACTGTAGTATTGGACTTTGGAGACACATGGAATAAGAGTTATAGATCCTTAAGTCCTGAGGAGCAGGCTCTGTGCAGCTCTCAGTCTTGGAGACTTACAAGGGCCAACTTTTATTCATGTTGGCACCAGCAAAGTAAAGTGAGGACCGTGTGGGGTGACTCTTTATCTGTTCTTCTGCCTGCAGTGCTCATGATGTTACTGCCCTGTACAACTAGAGCCGAACGAGATTCACACCAGATAAACACAACATTAATCTCTGTTGGATTGACATCCCTCTCTTTAAGTGGCTTTTAAAATCTTGAAGAGTA